TAATCTGAATAGAGATAAGGACGCGTTTGCGTTAATGCTGAAGATGAGTTGCTGACAAAGTCCGTCTTCAGTTTTAACAAACAAACTCCACTTTTTGAAAGAAATCTGTTGTTACTGCCGGGAATAAAATATTTTTATCTTCCACGCTCCAGCTTGTTACCTTTCACTAAATCCTAAGATTCTTAACTTTCAAATTTAATCTGGAAGATTACTGAGTAACAAACTAAGCGGTTTAAAAGCAATAAACACAGTTCTTAAGAATATTTTTTCTGCATTTTAATGTGATTGATTTAAATAAAAATACATTAAAATCAGAAAATGTCCAATTAGAAATATTAAATATTTTCTGAAATTACACCTGGACTCGTTGAAATCATTATATGCTTTTTTTTTAATGACTATTTCAAGCGGCTTCTCGAGCAAGAATCTAGTTTTTAAGTCAACAGTATGAGGAATGTAAAAAGAATATATGGAAACATTTAACACTCTATCGTGAATTCTAAAGAGAGGGTGTTTTTAAATACTTTGTGATTTTGTTGTTGAATTTTATGTGACATATGGGCGAAGAGGGTATATTTAATAAATAATGTTTTATGCAGAAAATGTTAATAACAAGGGAAAAAAATAGAAACCATTTTACTAAAAACCGGACATTGATGTGACAAATTCAGAAAAGACTATAAAAAACAGAAAAATGTATAGCAATACATTGCTTCGGGAATTCTAATATGTAGTGCTCTGAAAATTTTGTGACTGCTTGTATGTGACGTAAATGTGAAGAAAACGATACTTAATAATAAAGCTAAAAAAAGCAAAAAAATTCTGTTTACAGGGTTGAGTTCAAGAGCAGATTTTTAACCTGCGATGCTCAGCGAAAGCGTAAAAGATCTTAACACAAACCATCTGGTGCTACATAAAAATCAGAATCCTTACATGTTTTCTTTCTTTTTTTACTCCCTTGTACAAAGTAAAGAATGTAATATAATCATGGAAATTTTCAGGTATCATATTTCAAAGGAAATACCCATTTTGACCTTTCCTGAATTCATTTTGACTATTGTTTTGCGTGACATCTGTACATACACGCATAATAAAAGACTCTTTTCTCAAAAACTGATGAAAATAGATTTAAATATGATTTTTTTTAAATTTATTTATTTAAGTCTGTATGTACGTATCTCGCATAACTGAAAAATGATTAGCTGTAGAAAGTTGAAATTTTGCATGCTGCTGCAACAACATCTATTCGTGCACCTCCGATTTTTATTGCAATCGGCAGTACCGAACATATACTATATATATATAATTAAGACACAATAACACGCCGAATAAATACTATTTCAGAAGTCAAACAACAAAAATCAGCGTTATATTTTCAAAATTTTCACAGGACTAGTTTCGATGGTTTTACCGAGCCACCATCCTCAGCTGCAAAACCGCAAATGAACAAGATAGGAAATAATGACTTGATAAGAAAAGAAAGCCTGGACAAGAATAAGCAAGTGACGCCATCTGTTGATGAAACCAGAACTAAAACATAATTTCTTTAAAGGCCGAAGGCAAAGATGGATTGGAATTAGGATCGTTAACTAGAACAGAAAGATTTTTTTGAATATGAAATGCCTCTAGAAAATCCAGTTTTCCAATGGAATGGAAGATGTTTTTTGAATAATTTTGGCAGCAGAAAAATTGAAAGTGTGATTTTCGGACCAACAATGTTGAGCAACAGAAGACTTCTGATCTTCCTTTTTTCTAACATTTGCCTTATGTTCCTTGACGCGAAATTTTAAGGCTCTCTTAGTTTGGCCGATGTAAATTAAACCGCACTGGTAAGGAATCCTATTAATACCCCAGGAATTCATGTCCGGAATGGGGTCCTTGAGTATGGAACTCGGAATTTCATTGATGGGAGAATTAACAACCCGAAAGTTAAATTTCTGCAAAATATCTGCGCTTTTCACCCAACATTATTAATCAAGCAGTTAAAAAATTCTCATCTCAACACACTAAAAGGCACACTCTTGTTTTAGGAGATTATAAAAATTCTGTTGTCATTCCCTTCTTTGCATGAATTAACTATAAAGTTGCACATACTTTGCAGAAATTTAACTTTCGGGTTGTTTATTTTCCCATCAATAAAATTCGAAGTTCCATACTCAAGGACCCCATTCCGGATATGAATTCCTGGGGTATTTATAGGATTCCTTGCCAGTGTGGTTTAGTTTACATTGGCCAAACTAAGAGAGCCTTAAAATTTCGCGTCAAGGAATATGAGGTATATGTTAGAAAAAAAGGAAACACAGAAGTCTTCTGTTGCTCAACATTGTTGGTCCGAAAAAATCACACTTTCAATTTTTCTGCTGTCAAAATTATTCAAAAAACATCTTCCATTGGAGAACTGGATTTTCTAGAGGCATTTCACATTCAAAAAATCTTTCTGTTCTAGTTAACGATCCTAATTCCAATCCATCTTTGCCTGCGGCCTTTAAAGAAATTATGTTTTAGTTCTGGTTTCACCAACAGATGGCGCCACTTGCTTATTCTTATTCAGGCTTTCTTATATTATCTAATCATTATTTCCTATCTTGTTCATTTGCGGTTTTGCAGCTGAGGATGGTGGTTCGGTAAAACCATCGAAACTAGTCCTGTGAAAATTTTGAAAATATAACGCTGATTTTTGTTGTTTGACTTCTGAATTAGTATATATATATGAAGCCTATATGAAGCCTATATGAAGCCAGTTGAAAACAAACTGGCAACCCGTAGCGTAAGTTTTGAATCTAACATTTATGTTCTTTGTTTTGAAATATGTACTTTGATTACGGTGTTCTAATTTAATTTCCAGTAGATTCTATTTCTACATTTTAATCTTACATTGTGTAAAAACTTTACTTAATTTATTTAATTCTTAACTTTATTCAAATTTGGGATTTTCTTCATTTGGATATAGTTAATATTTTTCACTACCGGATTGCTTCTTTGTTTTCGAGTAAATTCAGATTCATATTCTCTGTTTATTAATATAATTCTGTACTTTAATTTTGGTTACTTTTGCATTTCGACTTTATTTCAATTTTAAATTTAGTAGAAAATGTCTAGTTTTATTCTTTATTTGATTCGACACTGGAATTTTTACTCTGCGTTGGGTAGGACTTCAAAATTTTCAGATGAACTATTATAATTAAATATCTTAGCATCATCAGCTAATTTTGAATACAGAAACGCAGTGGTTTTAGTGGTTAAAGTGGAAGGGGAATTGTAATTGAGTCTGAGATTTGATTAAATTCTTCTTCTTTTATTTTTTATTTTCTTCTGGTTTTGGTATATTTTTATTAGTTTTTATAATTTTTGGGTTTTAATTTCCCATCTTAATTCTTATTTTGCATATTTATAGGATATTTGGAAATTTATTAGTATTAAATTTGACATCTTTTTGGTTTTTGTGTAAAATTGGTTCTAAATTTTTTGCCTTTTGTCTCTCTTCCTATATATATATATATATATATGTATGTCATATTTTTAATGCGTAGTAGAAAACACTGAAACCTTAACAACTTTTGATATCCGTCAGGCTGATGGTTAAGGTATACCAAGAAAGGTAACAAAACTGGATTTTTATGAATCAGCAATCTTTATTTTCCCACATATCCAATTAGTTTGGCAGACACTTATTCAATCATTATTAAACATGATAAATTGCTATGTAAATTGGATTCTTTTTAAAGAAATGACGTAGGCATTTGAGAAGCGAAGCGGCGCGAGTTTGGCAAAGCAGCACTTAGGGAAGGAATGGAATAACTTCATTTATTGCGCCAAGAGTATTTATACTAAGTCTGATGTAATTGTAGAGACAAGCTATGATTGGTTAATTTGAGGTTGTTATATAACATAGAAGGATCTCGAATTTGGTAGAACAGATGAAGCGGAGGGAGAGCGAATCGTTAATTTTGAGGTCGCCAATTATTTTTAAAGTAGCCATCGTACTTTGTTATATCTTACATATTTAAGATAAAAAATATGAAAGAAGACTTCTAATTTTAATTGAATGTAACCTCTTTTATATTTTATTTAATTTGGGAACTTCCTCTCTCTATCTTAAAAATAGCGCTATAAATCTAAACTGCGTCATTAAAATTAATCATGCGATCTTACGTAACGCGTAATGCAGATACCTCTCTCCCAATCAAAAAATTGTAAGCCAAAACCTTTAACTCGGAACTGAAACTTTTTAACTTCTTCCTTTCTTCTTCTAAGCTGCTATGTCCTTTTCTCGCTTACGCTTTCCTCCTGGCAAGACTCTCCTGATCCACGCTGCTGCTTATTTGCTTATGACGACGTAGTACTTTAAAACCTGTGTACATGGAAATTATTGCATTCAACTTTGAATGCAATAATTTCCATGATTGAAAAATATCTTATCTACAGAAAGATGATCTGATGGGGAATTATTCTGCAATAAAGTATAGTTTCGAAACGGCCATATCTGGAAGTTTTTGGTTTATGCATTCATCCTTCCAACTACGCAATAAAGTGTCTTCGGAGGCCAGAAATTAATGTGCCGGATTCCTTCATCTACGTATTACAACATGACATATATACATAGTGTTTTTAATGACGAAAACATTCATGTTTTGGAAATATTAAATTTAAAAAAAACTAATTTTGGACAAATAAGAAAATCTATCTTTTAATGCGCTCTCCGATTCTTGTACTTGGTAAAGTTTTATACTCATTATGAAAAAATAAAAATGCAAGAAGTTTCACTCTCGTACGACAAAAGTTAACCGGCATATTTAATTTCAAAATTTGCAGATTTTGGTGTAGTTTTCAATTTGCCTGGAGGGAATCTTTAATTAATTCAAGATAATTTGAAAAATAAGTTTAAATGAAATTCTGCAAAAAAATGTGCATAATTTCATCGGCCGTTCAAGGAAGTCATGTTGCAACCACATAAGAGCTTTTGTCTAGGGGGGGTTGATAACTCAGATACATATACTCACCTGGATAATGGTCTGAAGAAGAACCAGGCTGCGATCCTCTAGGCGATCTGCCGAGTCCGCTATCTGTAGGTTCTGGGGGTGAAGCATCACAGAGTGTAATTGGCTTAATTGCTTGAATCATTAAACATTCACTTAAATCTTTGGGATCCAGTTCCTCTACACCACCCCTAATCTAAAAAAATCAGTTAAAAACTCATTAAAATGTAATTTATAAATTTAGTTTAAATATCATATAAGGTATTGTTCTGATGTCATGACCGGATTTATGTGCTGGCGATTTGGCGAAAAATTCGAAACATAAAAATAAATCCCAAAATATTTACGATATGGTTGAGTTGAAGAAAAATGCCAGAGAAAAATAATATTCGACAAATTACAAATTTTTAATAAATTAAACATCTTCCAAATAAATGACACAAAAAAGTTCGGTTAGCGAATTAGGATTAACACGGAGGCATAAAACAGCGGCCGAGCCGTAAAGTCGCTGAACATTAGTAGTTCGGTCCGTAGTTCGAATTCCGGCAAACAGGCTGGCTGCATGGGCGTTTTCGTGACTTCTTTCTATGCGCAAGTTTATACAACCAGTTTCCCTTAAAAGGTCCTCCACGAAGGATTCTCTTCCCTTAGGCAGACAGCCATCGAGTGCTTCATTATAATCAAATAAAGCAAACCAACCATTTAAAATGTCTGAAAACATTTGCATTTTAGAGCATTTTTGCCGCCACAAGTCAATTAAGTAAAAATTTAATTGGTGAGTGAGTGAGTGCACCGCTATGATGGCTACCGACCACGGACATGAACCAAACGGAATTATATACCATCACGGCGGGGAAGACTCCAGAGTAACAAGGTTGAATATTATATACTAATAACAGTTTTTACATATTGTTAACTGCAAGGCACTAAGCATTATTCTGGTTATCTGCTTTAAGTTCTGAACATTTGAAACATTATAATATTATCCACGGTTGTTTCTGCTTAGGCAGTGTCCTGAGATTTTCTCTATTTTATCAAGGGCTATTCTGTTTTTGAGTGTGTTAGTCGTCCACATTGCCCAGGCACAGTCCGCTGGTTTTCTTCAAGTGCCAAGTTCCTGTATGTACGCAATGGAAGTAATAATGGTCCGTGTTGCCTTACTCTCCGCATTCGCAGAAAGGAGTATCCCTAAGTCTGAATCTGTTCAGGTATACTGGGAATGGTCCATGACCTGTCAAGAACTGTGTTAGACTAGCACAGTGGGTCTTTATTTCCATGTTAACTTTTGGCAGTAAGCGAAATGTCCTTCGTTCTACCTCTGCCTCTGTCCATCTACTTTGCCAATTTTGTAGCAGACTTGTCAAAGTTGTTCGTTTAATATGAGACCAAGGAAGTTTAGTTGGTCTTTCTAATATATCCGTGCAGTTGGCTGCCTGCTTGGCCAGTAGGTCAGCGGCTTCATTGCCTTGAATCCCTGTGTGAGCGGGAACCCATTTTAAAGTGGGTCTTTGCGAAATAGGCATTGTCAGAAGCTGTTTCTGAATTCTGTATACCAATGGACTCCGGCTGTTTTGACTTGCGATAGCCGCCAGACTTGATACCGAATCACTGAGTATAGAGAATTTCTCCTGTTGACATGTGTTCGCATATCTAATTGATAGCTATCTTGAATTCGCATATCTAATTGATAGCTATCTTATAATTGATCGCATATCTAATTGATGAACTGATAGCTAGAAGCTCTGCTTGGTATACCGAGTTGTTCGAGCCTAATTTCCTTTTCCACTCGAAAGTTACAACTCCATTTTCTAGTCTACAGAAGCGGCTGCCCGTGCCGTTCTCAGTTTTGGAGCCATCTGTGAAAAGGTTATTACTGTACCTCTGAATTGGTTGGTCGTTTATACTGATACCGTCATAGAGATTAAAAGCTGCTGGATGAAAGTTATTGCAGTTGTTTTGCTCCTCGTAGTCCGAGTAGTGATAACTATGACCCCAGAGTGTTGAAGTTTGACCCAGCCTGGTAACCCTTACGATAGCTGCCTCCCTTTCTACTATCAAATCTAGGGGAGGAATTCCTGCTAGTTGTTGTAGGGCTAGTGTTGACGTGGTACGGTAAGCCCTGCATAGTTGAAGTAGCTGCTGTCTCTGAATAGAGAGCAGGGATCTTTTCATATGAGAGGTAAGTTCGCCACCCCAGATTGCTGCTCCATAAGTTATTACTCTTTCTGTAATGGTTCTATGCCAAATTTTTAGTAGCTTAGATGAGATACCCCATTTATGTGAAGTCATGCGTCTCATGTTGTTGCTTAGGATGCTAATTCGAGTCTTAAGATTCCTGACATCCAAGAAAGTGACATGTGGCATCCAAGAAAGTCTGCTGTCGAGTAATAGCCCAAGATATTTCAATTGAGGGAAACATTTTACCGGTATCCCATGGAGTTTAATGCTTGGGTTGCGTCTTAGCTGCCTGCTGCGTCCTATGAGCAAAGTTTTAGTTTTCTCTGCCGAAATATGAAGCTTATGTGCTCTGGCCCATTGGGAGAACAGATCAAGACAGTATTGAGATCTTATTTCGAGGTTACTCCTTCCTGCCACAACTAGCATAAAATCGTCCGCATAGGCTATAATTCGAGCGTATTCTACGCTCTCAAACTGACGAAATGCCGAGTTTGCCACTATATTCCACAGTGTTGGTCCAAGGCATGACCCCTGTAGGCATCCTCTAAAGACATTTTTGACATAAATGCCGCTGTCTGATGTTACTTGTACCCTTCGATCTTGAAATTTAATTGGTGTTTACCGTTTTGCCGCGTTGGTGTTTACCGTTTCGCACTGCTCCATAACTTTTCAATAGTTTGCATGTCACAACCAGTAGTATCGTTATCAATAAAATTATATTTACCCAGAAATGTTCAGATCTGGCTCGTTCAATTCTTCACTGTGATACACTTTCCAACAGTTAGTATATTGTACTGCCATCAATAATATTTTGTTCAATAACTTTAAGCAAAGTTCTGGTAGAGCAACTAAAAAACATTCTTTTGTTTTCTCGGTAAATCCCGCCGCACACTCACTGGAAGGATACGATCAACGTCGTTTTTTCGACGCGAAAACAGGCTTTTGTCAACATTACCAGTGCCACCTAAGCATCCCTCACATAATTGTTCCAATCAACAACAGTGAAATTATTCATATGATGTTGATACTGACAAAACTCAAGGGAAGTTAATTCTAAACACCATGCATAAATGAAACGAATTACCGTTAAGAAACTGAGTCTAGATCCTTAAAACCAATTCTAAAAATGCATTTTTTTCCCCGGCACATCGTATCTTCACGTCTGCATTTCGGTGCTTCCTTCGAAATAAAGTAGAGCTAAATTTTTTGGTTTTCCGTGCACTTTCTTTCAGAGTGAATTAATTATTTCTCGATCCTGAAGACATAGTATGATGGCAGATGTTTCATCACTACTCCCAAATTTTCATATCCATGCTAAATGCAGCAATAATAAAAACAGAAGTGACTGTTACATCTTTAGAACTTGAACTCTCGTTGCCAAATTTGAAAAGGCATACCTTAAGAAAAATATCTGTTGTGGACATCAAATGACTTCCTTGTACGGACTATTAAATTATACACATTTTTTGCTGCACTTCATCTAAACTTACTTCTTCGAACTTCATTGAGCTATATTTCTAATTCAATCAATTCAATTCTCACTTCGCGGCATTAAAAAGTACATAAAAACTCAGCCTTCATTAAATTTGTAAAATACAGAAAACTCTAAAATACCAAGTACAGATTAAAAACAGTTAAAAAAATTTACAATTAAAATTAGAGTTTGTAAGTAAACATAAGCAATTCGTCCAGCGGGCAGGAAGATACACATTTTTGGTGCACAATAGCGAAAGTTTACTTTTGGTCACACAGTGCAAAAAGACACTGAATTTGGTGCACCAATTAACTATTCTATTAAGAGTTCACTATTCTATTCACTATTCTATTAAGAGTTTCAAATGTAACCAAATGGCGACCTCATCAGGCTTAGCGTCCCTTTTAATTGTTGATAATTCTACAACTATTGCATGCAAATTAGCTAAATGCATAAAAACCTTAACCGGAACATAAAAACATCATTCAATCACTTTTAAAGCAAAAAAATGCACATTTGGCCAACATCTACGAATAAAAAACTGAGCTCACCGAGCTGGGTAACAGAGTGGCAATATATATATTTATATGTGTTTGATGCGGGCGATTGCAAAGAAAAAGGGCGGAGCACAACTATATATTTATATGTGTTTGATGCGGGCGATTGAAAAGAAAAAAGGTGGAGCACAACTATATATTATAGCAGTTCCATAAACAAAATTTCAACGTTCTGCGTTTAGTCGTTTTTAGGTCCACTCAGATAACACAGTTCGAATCAAATGATAATTTTTGTAACATAATTTATTAACTCTACATTTATAACATAAAATAAAATATTTACACTGCACTTCTCTTTACGCACTTATTTTGAACATTATACATAAATTTCAACTTCTCAACATTCGCAAACTAAAATTATTCTAACATTAACAAAGATTCGTTAATTTTATGCTCATAATTTTATGCTTTTTGTAAACAACTCTACATTTTACTCAGCTGAGTACACAAATGCTGCTATTTTTAGAATTCAAAAAGGAAGTCAACGCAAGTTGCCAAAATGATTTTCAATAAATTTTTCACTAAACCCTGGAGTCTGAATACTCTCGTTCACGCTTCACTTTCTTTACTTTCTCAGGACTAAGTTGAGGCATTTTATAGACATCTTTTTAGTTTACTTTTCCTTTTGGAAATACTAAAACGAAGCAACACACCTTTGCGTAGCTTTTACTGAAATGCATGGATCAATGTCTGTAATTCATGAGCAGGCATTTTGGAACTGTTTTCTTAATTAAGAATTTGTTTAAAAGGCCCAGTAAATCATTTATAGCAAGAGTTTTTATAGAAAAACTGAAGCTAGGGAATGAAATACATAGAAAAAAATATATATAGTATAAAACAAACAGTATTACCTCATTTAAATTGAACTAATCCCGCATCTTGTTTCCAACACTTTAATTCTAGAAGATGCAAATTAACGATTATTCAAGAGGCGAAATTCATGATATTGAACCGCAAGCTACCAAAGAGCAGTTAGCTGCTAAAAGCCAATTTGATGTTAGCTTTTGAGTCTTCAAGTATTCTAACATTATCCATAGCGATGATCTGTTTTCCAGCAGGACAATACTCGACCACATACAGGCGACTTTCCCAACAATGTCTTGGACGTATTAATGGCCTGCCAGGTCTCTAAACCTGTCAGCAATCAAACGTCTTGGGCAGGCAAATTCAGCCGTGTTCAAATACTCCCCAATTCGCTGACAAGTTGCTCCACTTGTGGTACAATCTACCGCAAAGGGACATTGACAGCTCAAGAGACCCCATGCCCAACAGAGTATCGGCTTGTATCGCAGCCATTGGGGGGGGGGGGTCCTTTACCACCTATTGATTTTCCCATTCTTTACACTGCTATTTGTAAATAAAACGCTTTCCCCCCTCAAGTTTTGAGCATTTGTTTATCTACTCGAACACTATCTACTGTCGAGTTTCGTAATTTGGGCTCAATTGTTTCGGGGTGCATATATTTTGTTTTGCAACAGAAATTGAGTAAACTTTATATTCGTTCTGAAAAAATAAAAATACAAGAAGTTTGACTCACGTACCACAAAAATTGGCCGACCTATTTTTTGCAGTTTTTAATTTCATTTTTAACTTGGCTTGAGGTATCCGTTAACTAAATTAGTTAAATTGATTCTAGGAAATTAACTGCAGCAAAAAATTTGTGTTATTAAATAGTGAATTATTGTGAATAATTAGTCATGCATTTCTAGTTAGTTACATTTACATTAAATAAGTTAAATTTCATTGATATTTTGAGATAAATTTTTCTTATCGCTTAATGTTAGTGTTCATATGTTTCTAATTATATTTCTAGTAAATTATTTAAATTCAATTGGTATTTGAATTTTATTTTTTCACCGCTTAATGTTATCCATTCGGTTGATTTTATCAGTACAGTTTCTGGACAAACGTGATCATGCATGTTATTTGCATATTTTTTTAATCTGATGTGATCTCCTTGGTCTCCATGACTATGAATTCTGTTTGCTGATTCATCGAAAAACAACTTGAGGCGTTTCCTACTTCATTTCCACCCTGAAGAGGCCTTCTTTTAGGGGTTATGAGTTCTACGCTAAAATTAGTAAAAGAAACACTGACGATAAGCCAGCGCCAGATTTGCCTAAGAAATTCATCAAGAATGCTACTCAGTTCAGGAAAGAATGATGCAACGTGAAACGAGATACAGCTAATGCCGGAATCTAGACTTGTGATGGATAAATTCGCTAATTTCTTCAGCAAATTACTGCATCTTTTTTCAGAGTGCTTTAAAAAGATGAAGTCACCAACGGAAGAATTCCATGTGGCCCATGATAAATGGAGCAAGAAGTCTACGGGGTTCATCTTTTCAAGGCAACGCTTTTGATCTTTGCTTTGAAATTTGTTTCTGATGCTTACGATGTACTGGAGCCTTTTCCTCCTGCTATTTCCTAATCCTTTTCCGTACGAATATCAGAGAATTTCTTAAGTGGCAAAATGACTTAGCTTCCTTTAATCGGACACGTTACACTTTGTATAATATTGACGGCTTATTATGTTCAGATCCCGCAGACATTTTAACGATTTTCATAATGCCGAGTATTCTGACCGATAAGTGGTGATACACTGTGGACTCGTTTCGAAGATTTGTTTCTCTTGATTGGCACGACTCAAATAAGCGAAAGGCACAGTTTCGATTCCACATGTGTAGCAGTGCTACTCATCATTCAAATTCTAAACCGCGTATATTAAACAATAAACAGTAAATTATTTTATAATATCTGTTATCTTTTTCTCTCAATTATTATGCTATACAGCTTCTTCTATTTAAAAATTTGCGGTTGAGTGATCCCCCTTATTTTTGTTCCTGTTATTGTTGAAATAGCTTATCATTTAATATTAAATTGAACATTTCAAATATCGAACATTTATTCAGGTCTTTAAAAATTAGTATATGATGATACTAATTTTTTTTAAATTAATTTATTATTAGTACGCTTCATGAATTTCTTCAAAAATTTGGAATAATGTTTTATTGATATTAAACTTATTTTACCTTGCGACTTGCTGAAGCTAGATTAAATATTAAAATTGTCATAACATATATCACTTTTTATTTTTGGTCTTGATCATTTCATTATTCGAGCATTTGGGTACCGTTTAAAGTCTGTTATTTTAGAATAGGCACTTTAAGGCCTAATTTCATGAACATTTGTTAAAATCCTCTAGTTGCTTCTGTCCAGTGATGTCACAATCGTAAATGAAAGAGGATCGCTACAACCTTAAAGTACCTATTTTAAATTAATAGTCTGTACTAATAAACAGTTTTACTTACCTTTTTCCTGTCGGGTTCTTTTTTATCAGGATGGCTTTTCTTGACATGTTTCCTCAGCGAACTCGGATCTGTATACCTTTTGCCACAACCTGTAACTTGGCATACGTAAGGTTTCTGAAAAAGGTGCAAAAATTTGAAAAATGAAATTTCTCTTTTACGTTGATATAAAAAATACTAATATGAGTCTCAATGCAAACATGCAATCAAATGCAGTCTCCATGCAATCAAAATAAAGAAATTAGGCATGCAACAATCACTTTAAGAAAAATGAAAGTTTAATACTGACCAGTAAAATTACTTTTTATATAACAGCAATTTTTATTTAAGTAAATATTATCATGGAGTTTGTACTTGTTTCAAAAAAGGACAAAATAATAAATGGCGATTGTCATATTGGCAAAAGATCAAAATTCGCTACCTTAGTAATCATATTAAACTCAAATTTTATATTTCGAACAACTATTTAAGTGTATAAAACCGCTATTACTGTATCTTCCGATATATAAAACGAAAGTTTTCCTTAAAAATTTCCTATTTAAAAAGAGTGAGTATTATATAACGGTGTCGCCGACACCAACAGAAACGCCAATGGTGGCATTATGGAGAACGAAACAAAGGGTGAAAGAGTGTCAACGATGCATACGGAGTGTGTATTAATCCTTAGAATGTCAAGGCCTTCACTCACCTCTTTCTATAAAAAACCCAAACGTCTGAGAGTCCATTTGAGATTCATAATTTCTCTCACCCCTGTTCATTAACGAACAAAGTGGTGTAAAAGGTTTTTCAAATGATAACGTTTCTAGTTCCTAGCAAAGGAGCTTCTTCCTTGAGTGTAAGCTAAACCGCATTTTACCTAAGGTACCAGAAAAGAATCCTTTTAGGATTAGACTGTCTACAGTAATAAAGATGAACTGTTACAATGCATCTGAGGAAACTGTACTTTAGGCTGTTGGGAACATTAGGGGGTGCACTGATGAGGTCCCACCTAATGGATGCGAGTTCTGACAACGATGACGAGTTGTATACTGAATAAACGTTTATTTCAATAACTTTATCTAATATTTTTCTCCTGTTAAACTGTAGACCAGTACGCTGATAAAAACCGGTACATCAACAAAATAATTCTTTATTTTATTTAATTTTTGGGTCCCAAAATCAAGATGCGTCTTATACATAGTAGCGTCTTATAAGTTCCCATGTAATACGGTAATTTAAATTTTCAAGCATGAACATTTAGGTCCAATAGTTTTAATCTATTATACATTTCAACTAAGTATTTCTGCGTACAAAACCATTGCTAATTTAACAAATTAGCTAAAATAAGTCGAAAATTTACTTTTTCTGAAGAAACAGCTGTAAACGTTTGTCAAGAAAAATGTATTCTGTCATGCTGAATATGAACTCAGAAAATGATATCTATATAAACTTTAGTCCCCTGACGTAGATTAGTCAATGCCGTAAATAAAAAGAGGTGAAGGAGGTGGTTCGTTTCCCCCCCCCCACATACACACATTCAATGGTTTCTGTTCATTTTCATTGGTTTTTCTTACGGGTACCAATGAAACCCTAAAATTATGCCACAGATACCCGCAAAAATTTGTATGGGTGTACGGATTTCTCTTGGCCTTTATTGCTTTTTATTGATTTTTGCTGTTTTTCTTATGGATACCAGTAGAATCCTAAGAATACTTCATAGAAACGCATACCCATTTTCATGGATTTTTATGGATTTCTTTCAAGTCTCCTCGTTTGTGCTGATGTCTATTGATTTTTCTTTCGGGTACCAATAAAATCCTGAGAATGGTCCATGAAAAGTTACTCATCTGTACTAACCTCTACTGGTTTTTCAAATCTTTACTAGTTTTTCTTATGGATATCAAAGGAAACTTAAAAATACGCCGCGGAAACCAATGACACTTTACAGGTTTATATTGATTTTTATTGGGCTTTTAGGACTATCAATAAGATAATATTGTTAATACAACCCAAATCAAAGTCAAAAGAACGTTCACTTGCTTCACGCTAGTTTACGTTGACTTTTAATTTTACTTTTTTTTTGGGGGGGGGCCGCTGATGTCAACAGAAGCCTGATGCAATCAACGTATGTAAAGATATTTTTCTGTTAATTTACCGATTTTTTTGTTTGCTTTTGTACTAGCATCAAGAGAAACCTACTGGTAAAATACAATGAAAATTGATTGAATAAATTTTTGTAATAGTTTATATGTTTTTTCTAGATTTTCTTATTGATATTAGTAGGCTTAATAAAGGGGATTTAAGATACGAAAAGAGTGCTGTCTCGTATTTACGTCATGCGTTGGTGAATACTACATTGCACAGGTGAAAAGTGACGGAGAACGCGGACACCTGGTGGCTAACAGAGGTAAACAGGCAATTTGTTCTGTTCCTCCATCAGCATCCTGGATTCATCAGCTTCCTGGAGCCGGAAAAGGCTGCCTCGGGATTTAATACTTTACGTTACACATAAAGTAAACTATATAAATTAATCAGCCTGTTGTCTGGGATTTGACTCCAGGTCGAATTACCAGTATTCCCACTCGCTCAAAGAATCACGAGATGCCAAATTATGATACGGAACTAAATTGAGGAGAGAACACTAGAGAGCCTGTTCCAAGGAAACTGTAATAACTTCATTTCTTTGCTATGCCTACCTTCATTGAAAGTTTTGAATGGTAAATACAGGAAACAATTAAATTATTATCATAATGACATAAATAAGAAAAATTTCCTTACTGACAGAGAAATACGTCTGACTTTAATTTCTGTTACTGTCTGGAAACAGGAAAAACTGAAAGGTGGAAGGGCAGAAATTTTGAACTTTTACAATCTCCAGCGAAGATGAGAAACACGCCAGAGTAAAACATAAAAGTAGGCAAAGCAACAACCTTTTGTTAGGCGTAGATTTTAGTTAAAGCTCTATCGACAGCGAGAGCAAACAAATAACGCCTCTCTTCATTAAGAGCAAAGAAATAACGCCTCTCTTCATTAAGAGCAAAGAAATAACGCCTCTCTTCATTAAGAGCAAACAAATAACGCCTCTCTTCATTAAGAGCAAACAAATAACGCCTCTCTTCATTAAGAGCAAACAAATAACGCCTCTCTTCATTAAGAGCAAACAAATAACGCCTCTCTTCATTAAGAGCAAACAAATAACGCCTCTCTTCATTAAGAGCAAACAAATAACGCCTCTCTTCATTAAGAGCCTCTCTTCAAGAGCAAAAATAACGCCTCTCTTCATTAAGAGCAAACAAATAACGCCTCTCTCATTAAGAGCAAACAAATAACGCCTCTCTTCATTAAGAGCAAACAAATAACGCCTCTCTTCATTAAGAGCAAACAAATAACGCCTCTCTTCATTAAGAGCAAATAACGCCTCTCTTCATTAAGAGCAAAAATAACGCCTCTCTTAAGAGCAACTCTCTTCATTAGAGAAAAAAATAACGCCTCTCTTCATTAAGAGCAAACAAACGCCTCTCTTCATTAAACGCCTCTCTTCATTAAGAGCAAACAAATAACGCCTCTCTTCATTAAGAGCAAACAAATAACGCCTCTCTTCATTAAGAGCAAACAAATAACGCCTCTCTTCATTAAGAGCAAACAAATAACGCCTCTCTTCATTAAGAGCAAACAATCTCTTCATAAGAAACTAACGCCTCTCTTCATTAAGAGCAAACAAATAAAACGCCTCTCTTCATTAAGAGCAAACAAATAACTTCAAGAAAAAAAAAAAACTCTTTTAATAACGCCTCTCTTCATTAAGAGCATTAAAGCAAACAAATAACGCCTCTCTTCATTAAGAGCAAACAAATAACGCCTCTCTTCATTAAGAGCAAACAAATAACGCCTCTCTTCGTTAAGAGCAAAGAAATCTGCACGAAGATCCAAGTTCGAAGTTACGCTGTTTAGCCGCGAATACAGTACAGATGGTACAACTTGTTCCGACTCGTATGCGATAGTGCCGGAAGGTCTCATGACAGTGTTGATTCCTGAACTGTGGTTCTCGAAGAGAGAGGCGATGAAGAGTGGCAGAAGAGGACCGCAAGACATCACAGGCCTAAGCAATGCCATATTGTCTTGGGTGTGCGTGTGAGATGGCGTACCATTGTCCTGTGGTTTAAATAGAGTGAAAACAAATTGCAAGTGTACAGGAAACAATATAATTGTAAAAATTGTTTTACCGTAAAATCAAGCAGTAATCAGAGCTATGTACATATGTAGAAGGAGAGCAGTGACATCATAGATGGGCAGCAACCAGTAATTGGTATCATGCCGCTAGGGACACCAATAATTGCTGCAGCTGCTACGAAGATACTTTGATACTTTTGTCTTTGCCGATATTAGCTAGACTATATCTTTTTTCGGCATTTCAGATAATCTCGGATGGGTTGACCACACGCACTAAACCTTAGGGAATTTACTAATTAATCCCAGACAACAGGCTGATTAATTTATATAGTTTACTTTATGTGTAACGTAAAGTATTAAATCCCGAGGGAGCCTTTTCCGGCTCCAGGGAGCTGATGAATCCAGGATGCTGATGGAGGAACAGAACAAATTGCCTGTTTACCTCTGTTAGCCACCAGGTGTCCGCGTTCTCCGTCACTTTTCACCTGTGTAATGTAGTATTCAACAACGCATGACGTAAATACGAAACAGCACTCTTTTCGTATCTTGAATCCCCTTTATTAAGCCTACTAATATCAATTAGAAAATCTAGAAAATCATATAAACTATTACAAAAATTTATTCAATCAATTTTGATTGTATTTTACGAGTAGGTTTCTCTTGATGCTAGTACAAAAGCAAACAAAAAAATCGGTAAATTAACAGAAAAATATCTTTACATAATTTACATAGTTGGAAAAACCTATAAATAAGCCTAGTAAAGTAGAGATCTAAATTTCAGGAAATTAAAGATTGCAGTAGACGCAAGTGCAGAGATTAGTCGCACGGGACTATAAAAGACAGATCAGGAGGTGTAGAATGGCGAATCAGATGTTACGTCCGAATATGCAAATAAACATTTTGGATCTGGGAAAAATGTTACTCTAAGATGTGTACATCCACAGCTCTGATCTAGAGATGAATACAAAGCAGGGTAATCAAATTGTAATATAATAAGAATATATGAAGATAATCTAAAAAATAACATGAATAAGATAAATGTAATCTGGGGAGGGTTAACTGTTCAGAGTGGGATTTATGTGGACATGGGGGGCATATGGTCTTAGGTTAATATCCATTTTCATTAATTCATATTTAAAGTTGTCTGTGTAATGAACATCCTCATTATGTATAGCTTTGGTGTAAATATTGCTGTTGAGTGTGTCGATGAAAGCGATGAGATCGTCCAATTTTAAATGCAGCTTACTAAGGTCTGGTATAGAGGCCGCACTGCAAGCAGGCGAGGCATATGTGATAATGGGTCGCAAGATAGGTGTATAGATCCACTTTTTCTGCGCAAGGTCTAGTAAGGAGGACGGGTCGAGAAGGCACCTTAAATTTCTTGGAAACACCTATGGTTTTGCAAATGGCAGCCGAAATATGTGCCCTCCAAGTGAGAGTGGTGTTGAAATGAACTAATAAATAGGTCGCTTGGGTGACTTTGGGGATAAGTTTTTATTAATGTTTTTAACTCTGTGACGGCCAACGAATAGCAATTTTGACTTATAGGCTTTGATGATCGACCTCCAATGACGGCACCAAATCTTTATCTCATGCAGTCTATTTGTTCTATTCAAAGTGATTTGCGAATGCGTTGGCCTTCTCCTCATTTGAATACTTGAACTCGGTGCTATCTTTTATGGACATAGTTTTGGTATGTGTCTTCTATGGACAAAGTTTTGATTTTAGATTACGAAAAAAGCTCCAAAACGCACCATCCTCAGATTTAAGACCATCAGTTTTGTCATTCCATGTATTTGTGCGGTGTTCATCAGCCAATCGTTAATTTTACTATTAAGCTTGTTCACTTTCGTTTTGATGACAGGATCACGTGAGTAGATGAATGGTTTTCGCAATCTGTTGCATTCTTTAATCAAGTTCCGGATGTAAAGTGGTAATTTAAGATGATACTTTTTGGTTTTAATTTCGATAATGGAATTTTCAAATGCTTTCTTAATACTTTCAGTGAGGTTTTGAAGGACTTGGTTGATATCGTCCTGTGTTTTAAAAGGGCAATGTGCAGGGGATGTAGCTGAGTGTAATTTTGAAAATGCTGCCAGTCTCTGAAAACGCAGTTCTTTTCAGGTTTATAAATACCAAAGTGTGCCAGTACAGGGACATGATCGGAGGAGAGGTAATCAATTTCTTAATATACAAGTAGGATATTAGTGGACGAAATGAAAATTTCTAGGATGTTCCGGATTCTGTGTGCGAATTGTAGACCTGAATGTGAATTCATCAGGAGGATAAATATAATAGGGGTTGTTGAAAAGAAAGTTAAAAAGAATTTCACCATTATTATTTGTTTTCCTACATCCTCAGATGGCGTGCTTAGCATTTAAACCCCCACCAATTATAGTGGGGTGCGAATTATTAAGGAGATTGTGGAGACGTTGGTCCTGCATTCCCAAATCAGGAGTGTTATATAATGCACAGAAGGTTATGCTTCCGTTGTGAGGAATATGGACAATTACTCTAACTTCTTCGAAGCCATGGCTGTTGTCTGATGTAAGAAAGCTAGAGTCGAAGTTCCTGTTCACGTAAATGAGCACTCCACCACCTCTGTACCTTATCTGATCGCAGCGGTAGCATCTGTAATTAGCGATACTTAGAGAATGTGCAGACGTAGTGAATGTTTCAGTTACTAGCGCTATGTCATCATTATGAGTGTAAAGGAAGTGTTGCAATTCGCCAATTCTGTATGGGTTTCTGTTACCCATGATTAATTTCAGTCTTGGGCATCACTAGTTTTGGCTCGCCAGCCGAGTAACTGGAGTTATGGAATAACGCAATGAAGTCATAAATGTTTTCCATGACCTTCTGTGCTTCAGTGACTGCTTTTTCAATTTTTTTTCAGATTTTACAGCGCTTGCATAGGATTTACTAACAATAAATCTATCGACTGCCTTCGGAGTTTTAGTTTGCAGTTCAGATTTTTGCTTGGGAAAAGCTTCGGAACCCCTCCAATTGCTTATGTGCTTTCCCAAGCAATTGCATTATCTAGGTTCTGAATCCTTAGGTAGCGGACAGTCCCGATTTTCATGACTGCCGGCGCACTTGCAGCACCTTGGTGGAGGATGACATGCCCCTTGTGCATGGTCACATCGCTGGCATCGGAAGCACTGAAGTCGGCCCACGCCGACCTCTGTACATCTCGACTTTAATGTGAATATACATTAAGTGTGTGAGTGTATAATTTTCATTGTGTTGTTAATTTTTCAGAATTTTACTGCATTTAGCCGTTCTCGGTTTTGTTTTTCGCTTAACAACAATTTTACCACTATTTTTTATGCAGTTGGTGGGTTTTTCAGACATCAGAGAGGGGGGGGATTAGTCAGAGTCATCACTCAGCACGTGGTATAGGTTATGTACCTCAATTTACTCCCTAATAACAGGGCTAAGAGGTCTTTTAACATTTCTCTGTGCTTGCTTCCAGTCTATACAATTATCCTGATTGTTTTGACTTCTCAAATCCATTCCAGAGGGAGGTTCCGTACTAGAAAAGCAGTGGGTAGGCTTAAAACCTGACCTTTCAACTCGGCAAATTTCTCCGGCATACATTTCAAAAGAAAATCTGTAAGTAGTTGAAGAATAACCAGGTCAAGCTGCGCGTTCTCGGTGAGTGCAGGTGCTTTGTTTTTCTCCGTGATCTCTTGAAAGCGGGTGATAATCTGCCTTGCAAGCTACATAATGGTAATATCTAGAGTCCAAAAATTAAATATTAGTCCAATATCAGTCCCAAATCAGGTTATATCAGTCAGAAAAAGAATCAGCACTAACACAAGGCCTTTTTACAACACAACTTTGATCACTTAAGATCGGGGCTATGAAGAGCAAGACACGGCCGTATTTAAAACAAACAGAAGTAAACCGAATAAGAATGCAGCGCCAACTGTTCGCTGAAATAGTAACGAAAATTGAAAAATTAAGTTAATATAATTTTTAAAAAGTTAGGAATGACTGGATTGGAATTAAAGTTATTAAATAAAGAAGATAAATCTTTGTGAATGGGAAAAGCTTCAAGAAAATCCAACTCACCGATGGAAGACGCATTTTGAATAAATTTGCGAACCTAAAGTCATCAAATTTCCAACTTTGAATGCCTTTCGAGGACTCATTAATTTCGCTTTTTCGGACACAAGATTCATGTTCCTTGATGCTAAAAGTTTCTCGCTTTCAAGACCGTATTCTAAAATACGGTTTTGAAATTGCTGAATTCTACTTCGAGTTTTCCTAGCGAATGCTGAAAGTATTACTTATGAAAAGCGTTTTTCTACATACAGACCGGTTAGGAAGCAACTCAGACCTAAAAATGACTTTTTTGCAGTGTCTAGAGAAGATTTCGTTTTTTTAATCATGAACCAGACTTCTATGATCTCGCTGACGATTTTACTAATAAAAAAGAACAAAATAACACTTGTTCCTTTGTTTGCACTTTGCACATTTTAAAAAATGTTGAAATCAAAGTTTGATTTTGAAAGGCGACAAATTGACAGTTCCCGGCGGCAAAATATCTAACTTTGCCACTGTCTAGCTTCAAAATATTTTGAGTACAATAAACACTTCTGACCACATTTAAGCTAGGCTGCATTAAACTATGAGGTGAGTTAATTGTAACGCATTTCCGATTGATGGTGTTATTTAAAAATTATGATGGGTTTACTAAGATAGAGACGCAACTTAAAATGAACATCACGTAAACTATTTTGTTATTACCGTGTCATGATGAGTCTTCTGATGCTTCGTTCGATCGGAAGAATTGCTGAATGTCTTCGAGCAGCCTGGAAACGTGCAGGTGAAAGGTCTTTCTCCTGTGTGAGATCTCAGATGAATCTTCAGATTCTCTAGTCTGGAAAATGCTTTTGTACAGCCCGCATACTATAGTAAAAGAGAACAGAGACCAGCTCGGTTACTTTGCAGAGATAACCATATATAAATCAGAATTGTTAATAAGTTTGATTAATTAATAAAAGTAATTTTTTTCAAATAAATTGGATAATTCACACATTAATTTTATTTCACATACACAGAAAGTGGTTCGCACTTATGGAAACGGTTCTCTGCTTGAATTTTCTCTTTAGCATTTCGAGATAAAGGTTTGGCATTTTTAGTATAATTGTCTGCTACTGTTTTGTTTTCACTGGAATGCAGAATAACCGATTTACTTTGGAAATAGCTTCCAAAACTGATGGATGCCTCAAAGCTTACGTAAAGGCACTTTCCGAGGAAAATGTTCGTATTCATAAATTGTAAAGTGGTATAAAAATCAAGATTTCTGCATTTCAAAGAAAGGTATTTTCAGTATATGAATCCGAAAGGATAGTAGTATCCAGCCGGAAGTAAAAATGACATGCCATCTTAAGACTGTTTGAACGCACGTAAATATCAAGAAAATAAAGTCTCTGACTTCGAAAGAAAATCCACCGACTCACAGACGCATTTCATCGAAACTGGGAATGTTTCCCGGCAGTATAAATAAAGTCATTTAGGAAAATTTAAGTAAAAAAGATTTAAAGGTTATCTGCTTTTGCCAAAGCATATTTCGGGGGAAAAAATGTAGAAAATTATACGAAAAACACATAACTAGAAATACCTACTGGAAATTATGTTAATACTCGATGAGGCAAGGGTATATTTAAGCGACTTTAATAATAATTACATGAAGTAATTAATTGAGAAACTAATTAAATCATTTTCTGTTGCTCAACTATTTTTTTCGATGCACAGAAAAGTTCATGATAGCTGCAGAATTTTTTCACAAAGATTAACCAAATCTTATAAAATTTTCAATCAAAGCAAAATTAATTTGCTGCATAGTTAACAAAATATTTTAGAACCAATTTCTGAAGAAGAAATTTCAGCCTTGTATGGAAAGGACATCCATAAACTTTAGCTTCTTATAATTAAAAAAAAAGGTAGATAAAGCCTCTAAGTCGCACATCAAAGTCAAATACCGCTTATTTAGCAAAGAAAGAACAAGAAACAGGAATAAAATGTTTTCCATTTAATTAAATACCTGTAAAATCATACGATGGTTATCCGGCGGAGTTTTGCACTTTCGGTTCTTTTAAATGACCCTTAGGTAAACTGCAGCCAAGAACACTGAACGGATTTGGGAAAACGACCCTAAGAGGCGTAATCAGGGTTATCAGATAAAAGGAAATCGCAAGAAATACATTCTTTATGTATAAAAATGAATTATCAAAATCATATTATTAAGTGAGAACAACATTCTCGTGACTTTCTTAAAATATTTAATAACTGATAGCTAAATGTTAATTTAACTACAATTTATTTAAAGAACAATTCGAGATCTAGTTTAGATGTTTAAAAATCAGCCTTTTTATAAAAGACAACTTCTTGTCATGATTAAGCATTCTGAATGCCAGTTTCAATATTTCTCTGACTTACTAGTTTTTTTACTTCCTTATAAGAAGTAAATGATGTATGAAAATTGCCAAAATTTCGATTTCCAGATTTCGACGGAAATAACAATTTTGAACGTTCCCGAATTAATATTGATTAGCTCTTTCTAACATCTGTGCATACGTACAGAATAAAGGACTTTTTATTACACAAATGGATTGTAAAATGGATTTTTTTATTCGTGACGTCTGTACGTATGTAAGTACTTATCTATCTCGCATAGGGCAAAAACGATTAACCGTAGAATGTTGAAATTTTATATATACAGCCCGGCTGAATGCATGCAACCGGGTGTATATATACATATATATATATATATATATATATATATATATATATCAAAAAATAAATGTCGGAAGTAAATTAAATGAAATTTTGTTCCATCTATATGAAGGGCTAACCTTTCTTTTCCAGGTAAAAACTTACCAAATTGAGTAAACGTAAATTAATGAAACTTTCAAAAACGAGATTTTTAATTGAAAATTAATATGAGAAAAAGGAAACTTTTAAAAACAATTACAGAATATTATACATAACAAAACAAAGTAACTTTTTTATTAATCTCCCCTGTTTAACGCTTCAATCAGAACTTGTCAAGAAAAAAGTGTTTTGAAGCCCTAAACCAAGTTGATTGATGAGTTCCGAATACATATTTCATTCCTCTGAATCATTTGAGACTTAAAACTGCTTTTTAGTACCAAACCTTTACTTTAAAACAACATTCTCAAATGTTCAGATATTTTCCTTACAAGCATTCGAACTCAAGTAAGCCCAAAACTTACACGCAAAAGTTAAATAATAGTAAAAATAATTGTAAAAAAAAGTCTTTAAAAAACCTATAAAAAGGTCTAAAATAACCTGAAACCTAAAAAAGGCAAAACAAACTAATTACATTAGCTAAATTAAATCAAGAAAAATTCTACATCAAGAATTAATCAATGGGTTTTTTTTTTTTTTTTTTTTTTTTTCAGAACTGAAAGATGAATTGCTGAGTCGACTTATTTAAAGCCTAAAACAAGGGCGGTTCAGTTCTCGAAATTTAGCTTTTTGTGAATTTTAAATTTGTGCCAAAAGATACTCATAAAAATAAGTTGCTGGAGTTGCTAGAATTTAGACTGCTTAGGGGTTTACCAAAAAAGATAAAAGAACCAAACAGAAAAACTCGTGAAGGTTGTAAAGCAAAGAACTAAAAACAGTTAAACAGCCCCTCCCTCTGAAAGTGATTCATTTGGTGAAAAAACTGAAATGGAGGGGTGTTAACTAGGAAGAAGGTAACGGAGATGAACTGTGGCTTCATTTTCTGCTACTAGGCTTTTAAGAGATCATCCAAGATGGGAATGTATTTTTACAATCTTAGTTTTAAAAATGGGCAGAAAGTTTCAAGAAGAAAAAACAAGGTGGTAAAAAGGTCGAAATTCTTCACTTAATAGAGCTACGAAAACGTCTTAATTGAAATAGGCCCTTTTGTTTAGTCATATAGGATAGAATGCCAGTAATTCCATAAAGTACGTAATTAATAGTACTTTCATTAAATTCTAGCCGAATTCAAAGGAAAAAAGAGAGATTTTTAATTACATATTCACATTAAATGATTCGTTGAAGTCACCCATAACTTACCTTCTTTTCAGATTTGGGTAAAATATATCTTTTCAGCGTAAACAAGTTATCTAAAAGGTAAAGTTAATATCGCATTTTTTATTCCCTAGTTGTTTCAAAAAAGGTCAAAATTCGGTTAATCTTTGGATTATGGTAACTTGGCGATTATTTGGCGACCAACCCTTCTACAGCAACCTGCTAGATTTTGTTTGGACGCAATTTTGTTTTCACGAGATAAATGCTTTTTTTCCAACAATCTGCTAGCCGAATTACGCTTGTGCTAGAACTTTTATGGAACGAAAGTGCTTAATCATGACGAAGATTAGGTGCGAAATTGGGAGAAAGAGCAGAATCGCAAACTGCTTGCCGCGTTTTTAAGAATTGCACATACACGCTAACCATGTACACGTCGACCTATTTTCACTTAAAAAAACATCCCAGAATTGCAAAAAAATGGCATTGCGCACACTCTTGACTTTATCCATGTACACTGCTAAAGTTCTAGCTAGTAACCTTTATCGCCTTATCAAAATGTCGCCAAACTACCTGTTACCATATTCCAAAGATTACCCCAGAATTCACTTAAATTTCTTATTAATTTAGTATAATATAAATTTAAATTTTAATATTAATTTCCGGCCAAAAATTTTTGTCTGGTTTCAGTATTCTGTCTTTTGTTGCAATGTTTCATCTTTTGAGGGATTACTTTCTCGCCACTAAAATTAAATTTCGCCAATGACACCAAGTTGACAAACCTAAGCGTCACTACTAGTAACGATCTTTTTCATAGTCTCAGTTGTATTCTAATTGAAAGTACTCAAAGCTTTTAACTATTTCTTAATTTAAGAGTTTATATTTCAATTCCGTTTGGATTAAATCTTTTAGCTAAAATATTTTATGTTTCAAGTATGTTTTCAGTTCTTTGGATAAAGTTCTCTTTGTTTACAGTTCTTTGGATAAAGTTCTCTTTGTTTACAGTTCTTTGGATAAAGTTCTCTTTGTTTTGTTGATTTCAATTTTTCACTAAGTATTTTATTATTTGACTTACGTTTTCAATTATTTGGATAGAGTTCTCTGTGTTTAAAGGTAAAATTTTGGTTTGAATTTACTTTGTTTTCTCCTTGCTTTGCGGAGGGGCCAGAATTTTCGGGTGAATTTTTATAATTAAAATACATTGGAACGGTTCATCGGCAACTAATTCTGGATACAGAAAAGGAAGGATTTTTATGGAAGAGAGATTTCAATTGATTTCAATATTCCTTCTCCTGATGAAATGCCGCTGAAGTTGATTTAATTCTTCTTCTTTTATATATTTATTCTGTAAGGATTACGCTAATTTTCCTAACAGTTAAATTTTAACTTCCTTTCCTATCTTCCTGAATTTACAACTTCCAGCTAGAACGTAGTTTTAGAAACGCGTTTCGATGCAAATTGAGGAGAACTATTTAACCGCGAAATTCTACTGCCTTCGTCAGAGAGAACCAGTGATTCTGGCTAGCACGTGTTTGCCTTTTTAGGCTACTCTCTCTTAAGCTAGTATTACGCTCGGCAGTACTTTAGGCCCTTGATAGCTTCGCCGTTATTCATCTTTAAGGGGCCAACTCGGTTAGAATCTTGATAGTTTCAGCTATATCTTTTTAGTTAAGATTAGTTAATTTCTTAGTTTTTGAGTTCAAGTGGCGGCTTTATTGTAAAACTCAAAGACGTAGTTCTGCTAAACTTTAATTTGGGATAGTAAAGAGCCTTTAACCCTTTTAAAGTCTTAATTACTGTCTCACGAACTCAAGCGATTATTCGCTAACTAGTTTTTCAGATTCTTCAAATTCAACTGTAACTTAAAAGTACACAGTACAGAA